GTGCTTTTCTTTGCTGATCACTTTGCCAGCGACCGCCAGACACTGCTTCAAGTGTTTCTTTCTGGCGTTCGCAGTCTCTCCTCCTCCGCTCAGCCCGCCTGAAATCATGTTGATCACTCCGTGCTTCACCGCGGCTGAATCTTCGTCTACTTCTTCACGCCTTCCTCTACGGTTTGGACTTGCTTGCGCTCTGTGATTCCTGGGGGAATCTTCTCTCCTGTCACGATTGTAGGAGGGTCTGGATCCAGGTTGACGCGTTCTCCTTCTTTCAGGCGACTTGTTGCGCTCTCGATATCGCCTCCCTGCTCCCGAAGGGCGTGAGCCGTCTCCTCCTCGCCTCTGCACTCCGCTTTTGATGAGTTCATCGATTTCGTCTTTGAGGTGCCTGCACTGGTCAGTGTTATGACCGTTGCTGCGATGGAACTTGCAGTACATGATGTTTTCTTTAGGCGGGTTCTGAGACTGTTGGGTGTTCTTGGATTCTTCTTTATACTCCGTTTGCAGGACGGCGTGTGTCTGACGACCTGATGTATCACGCCCGGGAGGGCGGTTTGAATATTTGGCTGGTTTATTTCCTTTCTTACTCTCTTCCATTTGGTTCTTTTGTTTACCAAGTGCCTTTTCTTGACTGTGGGCGTCCTCGACTCGACTTCCTTTGTACTCTTCGATTCGCATGTACTCCTGGGCCACCCTCTTGACTTCTTCCAGGTCAGTGATCTCGTGGCGGGCGAGCTCGTACGCGAACGCACCTTGCCGCAAACCCGAAAGAAGTATATGTACCTGTACTTTTGGGTCCAGGCCTTGCACTTGTAGGGCCTCCTTATCAAAGCGGTCTAAAAAGGACCTGAGGGACTCGCCTTGCTGTTGCGTACTTTTTCTAGAGAGTGGACGGATTTCGGCACAGGGCGACTGGTTGCAAAGTGAGACTGAAACTTGCTCGCCAACTCATCCCATGAAGCGATACTACCAGTCGGTAGAGTAGTGTACCATGTTAAGGCTCATCCCCCAAGTAGCGTGGGGAAGGTCCTGCACATGAGGAGGTCGGTTTCACCATGGAGAGTCATGGCCGCCTCAACCTTCTGGATCCATTCAAAAGGATCGGCATCTCCGACATATGTGGTGATATTGGAGGGTCCTTTGAAACCAAGGGGTATGGGAGTTAACCGGAGGATATCAGTCAGGGGTTTGTTGCGCCCTGACGTATGAGCTGGCGTGACTCGTAGGTTGTTGTTTCGGGGGGGGGGGGCGGTCCATTTGCGGTTGAGGAGCTTCAACAGAGTAGGAGAGGGCTGGGGCGTGATTGAAAGGTTGTTGGGCGGCATATGGTTGCTGACCCTGGTTTTGATAGGACACTTGGTGTAGTGGAACGACCGGATTTTGGGGTTGGGCAGCGTAACCTTGGGAAGGAAAACCAGTTGGGTAAAGCTGAGGGAATGAGGCGTATGGTCCCATAGGGAACGGGGTGACCATCGGTGCTCGGTAATCGTTGTGCATGGCTACTGGTAGACTTTGGGCTGGTAGCGGACGATGGGCTCGTGGGACGGGAATGACAGGTGGGGCAAAAGTGTGAAGAGGCATTCCAAAACGAACTCCTGGTGGCGGGGGTTGGTCTTGTATCAAGTTTTCTCCTTGCATTTCACGCATAGGTGCGTGATGGTTCAACTGTGCTATCCTGGGTTCGACTGCTTGCATTTGTGGACCGACGGATTGTAGTACTGGCTGGAGCATCTCGCCGGGGGGTCTCTCGGCTGGGGCTGAATGCATCGATGGCGGGGAGTTTGAATGTATTGTTTGTACATGACCGTCAGGTGTAACAGCCCTGGTTTGTTCTGCTCTTCTGGTTGTGATGACCATGTTTGTTACCAAAACGTAAAACACGTCTTGTGGATCTTTGGTAGGAGAATGGGAATAGAAGTTTATAGTTTCCCACAGATGGCGCCAATGTATCGTTAGGTTCTGTGAGCCCACTATGTACCCTATAGGGTAACGTTACTATATGGATTATACCACTAGGCGAGGTAATGACCAGACTAGTAGGTATAGTTCCAAGAGGCAAGCAAGCTAATAGTAATGGCAGATTAATAGCAAGAGAATGACTTGGAATTAAATGGGTATAACAACAGTATATAAAAGATACCTCTAAGGTGTGCCCAGGAGGGCTATTTATAAGGGAAATGGAGCGGGTTGGTGAGGGAGAGGTCAACTCTCCTTGGGATTTACTCCCATGGTGTAGTGTTAGGCGTGCTGGCGCTGTCATTGTGGCAGTGCTGCGCCCTCTGCACTCTGACGGTGTCAGCGCCGGGCAAAGGGGGAGTTTCCCTTTGTGGTTTTTGTCGTAGTCGCCTTCAACGGTTAGCATTCCAAGATGGGACATTTTGGTGTATGCCTTGGGCCTGCTGCTACGTTGGGGGTTGAGGGGGTCCATGTCAGCCCTAAGGGCTGACGTGGGGCAAGGCTGTGGCTGGGCTTGAGTGATTGGGTCAGCTGAGAGTTGGGCCTGTGTAGTTGAGCCGCCCCAGTATTCGGGCCATCCAGAACAAAAAATATACACACAACTAGATATGTTTAGCGCAGGTAAAGAACCAAGTTGGAATTTCATATTAAAATAAAAGAGATAATACATAATTAAATAACAAAATATAGAAAATGTAAGGTACAATTTGATTTTCCGCTCAACACACATATGGCATATTTTTATCTTTTTAATTTTCTTTACACGAAAGTTAAGTTTGGATCAAGGAGGCACGCCTTACATCCAGCAAAATCATCAATATCACTGAGGATTTGAAGCGTGATTACGTATCGTTTACTAATATGGGGTGAATGGAAAGTTTGATTAGCTTTGTTAACCTTCATTTGTATTTTTTTTTTAATTTTTTTAAATTAAAGTTAACTACAAAAATTGTATTAATCTATAATTTTATGGTCTTTAACTAAGAAATTATTATGGTGTAAAACTAACTCGACAAGCATTATTATAATTAAAATTCAACTATTGGATTTTTTAAGATCAGTGCCTTTGCTTGACAGCGTGATTCGCTCACTACTAGGGGTGTAAATGGGTTGGGCCGGGCTTTGGCCTTCTTGGCCCAAGCTTACGTAAAAAAAAATTCAGCCTATCTAGTCTACTGACCTATTAAAGGTTTTATTTGTAGGCCAAGTCTAGCCCATTTATAAAAATAAGAAAGTCTGCCATGTCCTACAGGCCTTGTAGGCCTACCACTGTAGATAATAAGAAAAAAAAATAATTGTATAGAGCAAAGAAAATTCCATTCATGCATGCACTAGTACTTCTCATAAGAAAAAATTGACAAACAAGAAAGAGTCAACATAATACCCCAGCTCTAGAATGTATATCATAGAGAAATAGAGTCAAAGAAATGAGAAAAATAAGAAAAATACAATTACTGGAAGTTGAAATAAAGTCTACAAGAGAATGTCATTCATCTAAAAAAATTGGAAATAGATCTTCTAATGTGAAAAAAAACATGACATGGTCATGTGAGAAGATCACAACCATACAAAAGTAAATCAACGGTTATGATTTTGTAACTACCTATTTTAATATATTTTCTCTCTCCTCCTTTATTACCATTGATCTACCTTTGTATGGTTATGATTTCCCACATGACATGGTCATGTGATTTTTCACATTAGAGGATCCAGATCCAAAAAAATTTAAACCACCATCAAGACAAGGGAAAGAAGAGTATTATTGAAAGATCTTCATCAGTAACATCATAATCCAGCAAGGTACCTATTGCTCCATGGTATTAAGCTGCAACAACATGTAAAATTAAGGTTGTTATTGGTACTTTGCCATGCCACATAAAATAAATATTATTTTATTATTTTATTTTTAATAAATTAAATAGGCCAGCCGACAAGACTTTGGGTCGGGCTTGGCAAAATTGACCTACGACCTATTTGTTAAAAGACTTATTTATAAGCCTAAGCCTATTCTAATTTTTTAAAAGGCCGGGCTGTAGACTGGGCCGGGCCAGACGAACCCATTTACACCCCTACTTAACAAATGCCGATTTTCGTGACTTACTCTTTGTTACCATTTATCTATGGATATTACTTTATTTTATGTAATAAGAGAAAAATTCTTTTACGTTAAGAGATAAATAAAGTGGATTTATCAATTTATTTATTTATTTTTAAAAAATCACATTTTTTTATATAAATTCAATATGAGATATCAATCTCATCACGTAAGATTAGAGTATGATTTCTTTATTTATAGAGATCGATACCTTATTCTCCGTATCAACTTCCACTGTTGGACGACTCTTATACGTACGCATGAACATTATTAAAAATGACACGTCTTCTCTCAGTTCCGTGGCTTCTGTTTCTCTATAATTTCTTTTACAAGAATATTCCAAAGATATTCTGGTAACAACGTGCTCACAAGAATATGCTTAGCTAGTATGATATTCAAAAGTCTTTCTTTATATAATTTCTACAATGTCTTAGATACAGTATTTGCAATTTTCCGTATGCATATATCAGTTAAGAAATATAAAGGTTACATAAGACCATCTCAGTCATTTATTGATAAATTAATGATTAATCTTTTATTATTCTACATTTTAATATGTTATTCATAATCACCAATTTATTAAAATGGTATCACATGAGTGAGTATTCATCCTAATAATATGAGCAAATGCTAACCAATAAACTGAATAATAAGTAGTTAAACTTATGTTGGCACCAAGGCACGCAAGCACACGTGTCCAAGAGAAGCGAAGAAGCAACCCAAGGGGGGACCAGAGAGCCTAGCTTCCGTGTGGTCATTGCCTGTAAGAATAACCAATGTATTCATTTTTCAAAGAGACTTAACTTGACGCTATTGCAAGCACACCCTCCCCACAAAATCAATTACATTAACTTTAATATTTGGATTGCATTATTTTATTTGATTCCTTCTATCTAAGTCCCCTTTATATAATTATTCTTCCTCATCCGTATTCAGAAAGGTATATCCTAACCTCACATCTACAAATTGAAGCAATGTCAACAAGTCCAAGCCAAAACAACAAAATGATGATGGCAAAATATAACAAGTCTCTCGTTCTCCTTCACATCCTATGCTTCATGTTGTTCCCACAGGCCCTACAATCACAGGATAATGATTTTTCTCGTCACCCTTCTCGTCAATTCATCCACACTCCCCACGAACGCTCAGATTCTGATCCTCAACAGGTTCATTAGAAATCAATCACATGCTTATATTATGTGTACATATTCATTATTGCTCATGAATCATGATCTTTATATATATATATGTCAAGGTTCATATTTCATTGGTGGGGAAACATCATATGAGAGTGTCGTGGGTAACCGAAGACAACCACTCAGAATCTTCGGTGGAGTATGGAACAAAGAAAGGAGAATATAGCACAAAAACAAGGGGGGAACACACCTCATACGATTTTTTCTCATACAAATCGGGAAAGATCCACCATGTGGTAATTGGTCCTTTGAAGCCAAGCACCACTTACTTCTATAGGTGTGGAGGATCTGATCCTGAGTTTTCTTTCAAGACACCTCCATCGAAGTTGCCTATTGAATTTGTTGTCGTTGGTAAGTGGTGCACTTTCTTTGCTTCACGATTCGCACTTTGCTTTTTAATTTGTTTCTTTGGGAAAACTTTTTGTAATTTTAAAGGAACTAAATTATGTCATTTTAGCTTCTTACGGAAGAATAGTTATAATATTAAATTTATATTTTGTTCACTTTCCACAACTGAACAGTTCTTGAAGAAAGAGAAAAATATATAACTTTAATATTATAACTATGTACTCCCTCGAATACATAGTTATAAGTAGCTAAAAAGACATAACTTAGTCCTTAAGGATAAACCATTTTCCCGTTTCTTTTTATTTTTTTATTACAAAAAGTTTAAGTGGGGTTAGACAGGTATCCCACTAGGGTCAGGGAAGACCTCTGAACCTCTTTGAGGATTTCTGGAAGGAATTACATATCACCCACCAACAAAGTCCTCACATCGGAGCGGAGTTTGAACCCATGCCCATGAGGGGTATGGACCAAACTCTTAGCCAACTGTGCCCACCTTTGTTGGCCTTTTTATTTTTTTTTATACATGGATTTTAGCTTCTTGTACACAAAAGTTTCAATTTCAGCACCCAAGTTTGTATATTTTCTGAGCACATGTAGTATAGAGAGTAAAATATAGATAACTAAAACTATCTCATATGAGGTCATGTCATCACATGATAGGATATGTTCATTTATCTTTGTGGTATGCTACTATATATCATGTTGTTCTCCTTTTATAGTTGTACCAAAGTTTAATTATTAGTTAGACTAGTTAGAAGGAGTTGATGAGTGCTTCAAACCAACGCAAAGGTGGCCGTGGCAGAGGGATAAGGTCAAAATTGATAAAGGGTGTACATAGATGTGGACACCAATCGTTAGGCATTAGAAAAAATTACATAAAAAATGGCTTTCATTAACGAATTTGGATTTTCTTTTACAGTGTATTGCATACTATAGAGAATAAGTTATCATGGTAAACATTCATGATAAAGTCAGTAGGTCCTATCAAATTCATGATTTATTATTTATACATTTGCATATCTCATAAAAGTTCAAATCGTTAATATTATAATATTTGGATCATCGATATTGCAGTTTATTATTTAAGGTACATCTTAGATTCATACATTTTAAATAAAGAAAAATGTTTCTTTTATATTAATTTGAGATCTACACTCAGTAAATGTGAGTTAATTATTAGTTAATAACATAGCAATTGATTTAAACGCGTTATTTGTGGGTTAATCAATAATTAAACCATTATCATGTGCAGGATTTTAGATGTGAAATTAAAAATTATTAGCCGAAGTCCCAAGATTGGTCTAGTAGTGAAAGATTTAAGTAATTTGTATTAGGTTATGTGTTCAATTTTCAGCATTGTATCAAAAAAAATTATTAGCCAATATTGATCCTTCACTTAAACAATGGTATATCATTGCATTAAGATGAATGATTTTATTATGTTTGTTTTTAATTTATGGTTAAATTAAATATATGTTCATGCATATGCTATGTAGGGGACTTGGGACAAACTGAATGGACGGCATCAACTCTGAAACACGTTGATAGCAAAGACTATGACGTGTTTTTGTTACCGGGAGATCTATCCTATGCTAATGCCCAACAACCGTTGTGGGACTCTTTTGGCCGTTTGGTGGAACCATACGCTAGTCGAAGGCCATGGATGGTTACCGAAGGGAACCACGAGGTTGAGAGTTACCCAATTGAGATTGAAAACATGGATAATTTCATAGCCTACAATTCTCGCTGGCCTATGCCTTACAAAGAGAGTGGCTCCACCTCAAACCTCTACTACTCATTTGAAGTTGCTGGCACCCACATCATCATGTTGGGTTCTTACACTAAATTTGGTGCACACTCAGACCAATATAAGTGGCTTCAATCTGACTTAGCCACCATTGATAGGAAGAGGACACCATGGGTGATTGTTTTGTTGCATGCACCTTGGTATAACACTAATAAGGCACATCAAGGTGAAGGCGAAAGCATGAGAAAAGCTATGGAAGAGTTGCTTTACGAGGCTCGTGTTGATTTGGTTTTTGCTGGCCATGTTCATGCATACGAACGCTTTGTATGTCATATTAATATATTATCATGTCACTTTTCTTTGAATTATGTTTATATGGGTTTTATTTTTCTGATTATTTGGATTTATTTCAGACTAGAGTTTATGACAATGAGGCTGATTCATGTGGTCCCATGTACGTGACAATTGGGGACGGAGGAAACCGCGAGGGACTTGCATTAACGTAAGATATTTACTTTTTTGCTCAAGGCTAATACTGAAGTTTAGTTTTTTTACTTTGGTGTAAGAATTGAATAAGATCCAATCTTAGTTATAAATAGTATTTATATATTAAGGGTTTATGGTGTGTTTTTTTAAAGGATATAAGTTATGTCTTTTTATTGACTTACATAAAGTCTGACCGGTTATACTTTGTGTAAATCTAAAAAAGTAACTTTTCATATTTACACAAAGTATAACCGGTCAGACTTTGTGTAAATCACCTAAAAGGACACAAGCTTGTATCCTCTTTAAAATGATACTTTTTTCTCATATATTAATTATGTTAATCCTTAAATGCCAGTGAGATTAATAATTAAAATTGGACATTAAATTTTTTATTTTTACACTGGTATAAATTGATATTACTCTTTAATATCCTTATATATATTTTATTTTTTCATGGGGCCTTGGTATATAATATATTCATGCATGTGTTGTTTGTTGAGAATAGGTTTAAGAAGCCTCCAAGCCCACTCTCGGTGTATCGGGAGCCAAGCTTTGGTCATGGAAGGTTGAGAATAGTAAACGAAACACATGCACACTGGTCATGGCACCGCAATGATGATACCGACTCATTTGTAGCTGATGATGTTTGGATAGAGAGTTTAAGCAGCTCGAAAGCATGCTGGGAGACACTAGGCCAGAATCTTGATCGTGAAGAGCTCTGAAAGCTTAAATTAGAGCAATGCTAATTAATTAATGAACTTCATCCAGGAAAGAGAAGCTCTACAGGTAGGATACATGAGGGGGGAAACCTTTCTTTAATTGCTTTAAATTATCCACCTTTTGATTTTTCCTTTCCTTTTTTTTTTTTTTTTTTTTTTTTTTTCCTTTTTGTGTGGTATGAAAAGTATTACGTTACTTCACTCTGACATGCTTGACGCATGATTTCGTAGCCTTAATTTGGTCTTGAGTTTAACTCTTGTGAATATATTTATGTTAAAAATTTGGTACAGAAAATTTTACAGCAATATAATTTTACCTTATTGAAATTGAATTAGTTGAATAATTAATTAATTGATAAATATTATCTACAAAAGTTACAATGGAATTGAAGGGAATGCCTTTGCCACCAAGACACGTTAAAGTATGTAGGGCACAATCCGCCACGTCATTTTTGCCCTCATATTATATAATTTACCAAAATGTGCCCCTCCTTAACCCTTGGCAAACAAATCAATGGCTTATGCCAATAAAGTGGTCACAATTAGTTAAGAGTTTGATTCATATCTAGTAAGGATATGGATTTAAATTTTATTGGTTAATGTGAAAATTTTATTGATGAATAATATATAATTTTTTCTGAAAATTCTCAAAGAGGTTGGAAGGTCTTCCCTAATCCTAATAGGATACTGATATTTAATCTCACTTAAACTTTTTATTATCCAAAAATAACAAACAAACCAAGGGCTTATAATTTTATAATAATATGATAAATTATATTAAAAATATACGTGTAGATAATTAGACAGTGAGGTTATAAGATTGCAGCCATGATTAACTTAAGTTTAATTTGAATAATTTTCATGTGTTCAAAATCCGCGCATGTTAGCATGAGTCTGGCTTTCAATTAGGAACAAGTTGGTATTTGAATTGGAGAGGGCCCTCTGGTCATTAAGAGTAATGTTATATCCACGAACGATTTGGGCTTTCTCATGTTTATAATATTGTAAATCACTTTCTTAAATTTAATCAATTTGTTATATAACAATATTATCTTTACATATCATTTTACACTTTTTTCAAAATAAAAATAAAAGAGGAAAAATAGAAGAATTTACTCTCTCTTTTTCTTCTCTCTCTTCCTTTTCTTGTGAAAGTAAAGTGTAAAAATTGAGAGGTAGAAATAATATTTTTTAAATTCCTCCATCTATTGGGAAGAAGGAACTTTGTCATGATAGATAATGTTAGAAATTAATCTTTATCATATATTATATGAGATAATTTTATTTTCTTTATATATATAAAATTGTGTATGATACATATTTTCTTTTTCTCTCTCTTCTCTTTACATAATCTCATATTTTTATGTATATGTAGAAGAAAAGCTAATTATCTTTTATAATATGAGAAATATTAATCCCATAATATTATTGAAAAATGTACAGTCACGGTTGCAGTGAAAGAAAGCCCAGAACAAACATGGCGCAAAAATAGCATAATTTCTTTTTTGGGTCACGGCAAGATTTTCCATTTAAATGACGATGCCTTCAGACTGGTTAGAGTTTCTTGTATCCTCTGGATAAGACATATTTCTTACTGTATCATTTATGATTAATCATATCAGCTTTGTAGGCTATTTGTATGTTCTGTAATAAAATTTGTTTAAGTTCTTGAAATACTAACCAAGATAAACTAATCTCAATACAGTAATTATTTTTCTTGTTGGCTTTTCAGATTTCTTTCTTCTTTTCTCTTTCGAAATTCTCTAGTTGTTTGGGAGTCCAAACATTTTCTTAATTTTTTTAATTTTAGGTTCTCCGATCCATCTTGAATTCCTTTGCAGGTTCCGCCCCCCTTCTCTCTTCTCTCTTCTGTTTTTGTAAGTGTCGGGCTTCCTCCTTCAATACTAAGCTCAAGTTCATTGAGGGGTTTTCTAAAAATCCTAAATCTTAAACTCTAAATCTCACCTCTTCTATATATTCATTAGTTGTAGGTGGAGGCTAGGTTAGAGAGAAAAATTTGAGAGAAAATTATTTGAGTGATTTGTGAGCAAAGCTTTAAGCTTTGTATTTGAGAGATCTCTAGAGAGAGTTTGAGTGAAACATCTCTAGGGTAGTTTGATTATCACCATTGTTGGAGATGTTGAGTTAACCACCACATTGGTGTATTTTGATTCTTTGTATCCATTATTTTCATAGTGGACGTTTGATCTGGACTAGGTCCCGTGGGTTTTTACTTCTTCATTGGAGAAGGTTTTCCCAAGTTAAAATCTGTTTGTGTTCTCCTTCTCTCTCTCTCTCTCTCTTTTTTGCGTTTTTCGATTTTTCGCTGCACTGCCCGACCTGGTGAAGTTCAGGCCGAGGTATTGCCGAGATCCGAAATTCAGGATCTTGTTGATTGACTTCCGCGAAAAAGGCTGCTTAGCCGAGCTTGAGGGAACCGAGTTCCCAACAGTGGTATCAGAGCCCGAGTTCAACGGGTTCTGAGGGAGATGAGATGGAGACCAACGACATAATCCATGATGGAGATATGTTCAAGCTGATCGCAGACAATTTCACCTATTGGAGACCGATGATGGAAGATCATCTCTACTGCAAAGATTTACATGAGCTCATTATCTTTGATGAGAGACCGGCAGGCAAGACCGATAAGGAGTGGGAGATTCAGAGTCGTAAGGTAGTAGCTACAATCAGAAAATATATAGACAAAAGCCTCTTTGAGCACGTGTCCAAGTTCACGAATGCGTACGAGTTATGGACGAAGCTGGAGTCCATGATTCAGAAGAAGACTCCCAAGAACAAAGCACACCTGGTTCGCCGACATGTGAAGCTGAAATTCAAGGACGACATGAGCATGATTGAACACCTCAACACCTACAAAGGTATTGTGAATCAGCTGTCAAAGGCCAAGATGAAAATTGATGACGAGATGCAGGCTTTGCTGCTGTTGAGCTCACTGCCAGAAAGCTGGGATACTCTGGTGGTAACCTTGAGTAATTCGACTCCAGATGGAAATCGAAGATGGATGTCGTAACAGATAGTCTCCTGAATGAAGAAGCCAGGAGAAGAGAACAAGGTGTTTCGAGCACATTTGAGGCCAACGTTGCTGAAAATAAAGGGAAATCCGACTCTCGGGGTAGAAGCAAGAGTCGGGGTCGAGATCGTGATAGAAGAGGAAAGTCCAGAGGTCGGTCAAAACCAAAATATGATTTGAAGTGCTTCTACTGTGGAAAGACAGGTCATAAGAAGCCAGACTACTGGACCTTGCAGAATGATGAGAAGAACGGCTCTGTGAAGCCGAATGAGATTGTTCCCAAGAAGAGGGAAGACAAGAGCACCACTGCGGTGGCTGCCAACCCAGATGCCGAGATATTCCTCCTAGGTGAGGATAATTATTTGAATGTTGCATATGATAACTGCACCTGGATTGTTGACTCTGACGCCTCCTTCCACGTTACTCCACACAAAGGTTTTTTCTCCTCTTACCGAGGTGGTGATTTTGGAGTCGTGAATATGGGAAATCAAGTGACCAGCAAGATTGTTGGTGTCGGTGATGTGACCCTGACCACGAATATTGGGTGCCGACTTGTGTTGAAAGATGTAAGGCATGTTCCTGACATGTGACTGAACTTAATCTCGGTAGGCAAGCTTGACGATGCCGGGTTAGTGAACTACTTCGGTAGTGTTAGATGGAAGCTGGCCAAGGGAAACTTCGTCGTGGCCTGAGGAAAGAAGGAAGGCTCCTTGTACGTGATGCAAGGAAAGATCAATGGCGGAGAAGCCAATTCTGTTCGAGATGGATCTAGCTTGGAGCTATGGCACAAGCGTCTCGGCCACATGAGCGTGAAAGGGCTCTAAATCTTGAACAATAAAGGATTACTGACCGGGTTGAAAGGTCAAGTGTTGGAGAGTTGCACACACTGCCTAGCTGGAAAGCAGCACCGAGTTTCATTTGTGAGACCGGATAAACCCAGAAGACGCAGGTATATTCTTGACCTCGTCCATACTGATGTTTGCTCAATGTCGGAGAGATCCCTTGGAGGAGCTCAGTACTTTGTTTCATTCATTGATGACCACCCCCGCAAAGTGTGGGTTTATATGTTGAAGTCTAAAGATCAGGTACTCTAATCCTTTAAAGAATTCCATTCAATGGTTGAAAGGGAGACTGACAAGAAATTGAAGGTGGTCCGATCTGACAATGGTGGTGAGTATTGCGGCCCTTTTGATGCATATTACAGAGTGGCTAGGATTCGACTTGAGAAGACGCCCCCCAAGACTCTACAGTTGAATGCACTTGTTGAGAGGATGAACTGGACTATTAAAGAGAAGGTCCGAAGTATGCTATCCAATGCCGGATTGCCGAAATCATTCTGGGGAGAAGCTGTCAGAACTACTGTTGACTTGATCAACCTCTCACCATCACGGCCACTTGAAGGAGAAATTTCAGAAGAAGTCTGGACAGGTCGAAAAGCGGCCTATAATCAACTGAAGGTATTTGGATGCCGAGGTTTCGCGCATATCCCTAAAGATGAAAGGGCTAAACTTGACGCAAAGACTAAAGAATGCATTTATCTTGGTTCGTCGAGATGTGAGTTCGGGTTCCGACTTTGGGATCCAATCAATAAGAAGATAGTGAGAAGCCAAGATGTGATCTTTCGTGAAGATGAGAACATTCATGACATCTCGAAGCCCAAAGTCCAGGTTACTGTCAGACGTGAAGAATCCATCCATGCTGTCCGAGCTGAAGCAGGGTAATAAAATCAAGAAAATGAAGAAAATGATGACCAGCAACAAGCTGAAGATGACCAATACACTGAGGTCCGAGTTGATGTTGAGATTCGGGATGAAAATGATGAACCAGATTCTCAAGCTGAAGAACAGCCGAGATATCCAACTCGAGAAAGAAGACCCTCTACAAGATATCCATCTGATGAATACACCGTTGTTGCTGAAGACGGTGAGCCTCAGAGTTATGATGAGGATGTGACGAGCTCAGAGAAAGAAGAATGGAAAAAGGCAA